CTTTATATATGGCACGTTTATTGTATATACATTGTATTAGATTTTATAAAAACGTATACATGCCTCTGTATATCATTGTATAAAGTTTTACCAAATATTATACACATTTGTAAAACACCCTTTATATCGTTATATTACGGTGTACTCAATCATATTCAATTTTATAAAAGTCTATAAATTGTAATAAAATTTCTTAGTGGGTTGTATACAAACCGTTTTACCCGGGTACTCGTGGGCGTCTTCGCTTAGTCCGTACAAGTCACTCCTGAAATAAATTACTGCCCTGAACTTTTATAACTGAAACTGAAAATGTGATGCACGCAAAAACACTACTTTGGTAATAAATTACAATCTCATACTGTTGATAGCTGCCTATAGCAGAAGTTAATTGTCGTTGGCCATGCCATTTAGGGGCAAGTAATATAAATATACCTAAAACGTTTTTTTTAACAGTAATAAAGTTAAATGTCAAAGCGTTTTGTATTTGGACGTTGACAGTTGAAGCGTTAGGTTGTTGATCGTTAGTAGTTAAAACGTGCATAGTACGTACTGTTAATCGTGAACAGTTCGAGCAATCTTATATGAATAAAACTGTAATTGAAAGGGCATAAACTGTATAAACCCCGAGATCCCAGTGAGCCCTAGCGTAGGGCTCGGCGCGGGTTGTTCAACTCGCTCCACCGCTATTAAAGTCGCGGGCAGAGCTGCACTGACGTAAGCCTTTATTCAAAAGCTATGTCGTCCGTCTTTGGCCTGGGCTCGGCCCCGCCCGGCTCGGGCTGCTGGTTCCCACCCACTGCTGAGGTGCCTGTGTCTGCCCGTCGCCTCTCCGTCTGAGCTTTGAGCCCCTGCCACGATCCAGGCCTGCGAGGGGGAAGGGAGGGAACCCAGTACACTGGAAACGGGATTATTTTAAGGTAGACGGGGACAAGTAGAAGAATAGGAAGGAAAGTTAAGGGACAACCAAACTTTTTTGTGTCCAACTTAAGAACTAACGGCTTGTCCAGAAAGTACCTCCGCTCCTCTAAGATTCATTCGGCAATTTACGGGAGCCTAGCGCCTGCATGATTCAGGGTAGGCCAACCCGCAGTGCACGCGTGCACGGCGGGCAATATGTTGCCTACCTACCAGGCGCTGAGAGAGCATGCTCAGGCTGCGATGCAGGCTCGTAACGGCGAACAACGGACGTAATTTATGGATAATCCCTAACTCTGTAGTTGCTTCTGACAAAGATTGCGTCCAATCCTTGGCCCAACCCAAGCACATACCGTTCAAAAGAGCAGTTTGAACTAAACTATAGGTGTGAAGTACACAGCAACCGAGTAACCATTGCTGGTGTTTAACTGGCAGTTGTACATTGACAGGTGTTTGCCGGGCCAGTTGAACACTTATGATTTATCTGCGTTGCAAGGATCTTTTTTTTCTTTGCGTTGATTGATCGGCTCCTCCCGCTCCCCGCTGCCCGGTTCGCTGGCTGCCCTCCCTGCGATACGCGCCGCCCGCAAGGCCGGCCCCGTCTAATTACATCCGCGTGTCAGATCGCATCCTCTTTGGAATGCAAACTTAAGATTTTAATATAAAATAATATGCTGAAACGAAAATACGCGCTGACGCGCACGCCCCGCCACGGCCGCAGCCACCTCCTACGCGGGTGGCGCCCGGGCGGTACGGCGGCGGCTGGACTGTTCCGAGAAGGAGGAGGCGCCTCGATGCCCCATAATGCTCGAGTAAGCGCCGCGATATGGTCGTTCCAATAGCGACCGACTCGCAACCACTCAATCGCTCAGCTGTTGTATGGACGCAATCATCCATTTATGGCGCCATTGCCATTACCTTAATGAACAACGCTAAATACGGCTAATAACTTCCCTCTTACCGTTTTTACCATGCCTGTGTTTCCGAGTCCCGAAGTGTTCGGCAACCGTGTCACTTACAGCCAGTTGTTTGGTGACATTTTTACATGTAACTGTAATTTTGTGGACTACGTAAATAGCCCTTTCTTCCAAGAACAAACTTAACCAAAATTATTTTTTCAGTATTTCCCCAGTGTGTGTTGCCGAAAAATCTTGTTGGTGGTCCTTAGTGTCCTCTGCGCTCTTCACGAGCCGTCGCGAATCGTCAGCGTTACCTTCTTTACCTACCCGCTTCGCGACGCCTCGTGCCGCGGGGCCGCCGCGGGCCGGGCCGCGTGTCTGGGCTACGGCTGGAGTCTGCGTCGCTGTGTGGTGCAACAGCGGAAACGCACACAGCGAGCATCAGTCGCACCCAGTCGCCACGGCAGTACTCGCGCCCGTTATTCGCAAGTTAAGCACGGCTACCTTTGTGTGCGCCTCTGGCGTCTGCCTGGTTAGGGATGACAGACGTGCAAAGAAAGACGCGTTGACGTCGAGGGGTTGTTCTTTCTTCACGGCAATCTTTCTTTTGGAGTTATTGCGGTTCTATCCTGCTTGCCAGATTTTGTACTTCTTACTCAGTTGGTGTAAAACACTCATTTGTAGTGCCTTATTAAAGTGCAGTCTTCATATTACGAAATAGTAATTGGGTTTGTAACGTACAAAGGACTCGGAACCACCAATAGACACGTCTCTTCGTAACATAAAGGGTTTGTTTGTATTACGAAGGTTCCAAATCTTATGTAAGTTTACAAAGAGCACTTAAGTTCTTTGGTGGGCAATGGAGGACGCTCAACGCTCACCTCAGCCGCCAACATTTCTACGACGCCTTATCAGGGCTCTGTTACTAATAACTTAACAACCTTAACGTTATTTTAAGAGTTAAAGTTATAAAACTTGTAACTTTTAATGTAATCTTTTTAAAATGAATTAGTTATTCGACTTGTCCAACTTTTCTCCACAGTTTCCACGATTACACTGATAAACTATGTGTTCAACTGCTCAACACTTGTAAGTGTGCAACTGCAAATTAAATACTTGCAAATGTTCAACTCCGCAGTCGTACACTCGCAAGTGTTCAACTCTGTGGGTGTGCACTTGCAAGTATACAACTCCTCGGTTGAACACTTCTTAGATTTAACGGTCACTGTGTAGGAAGTGCCAAACCAATGAGTTGCACACTTACAAGTGCAAACCTACCGAGTTGAATACTTGCAAGTATTTAACTTGCAGTTGCTTGCAAGTATTTAACTTGCAGTTGCACACTTACAAGTGTTGAGCAGTTGAACCCTCAGTTTATTAGTGTAATATCGGTCATATTTGAAAATTCATAATTTTAAATTTTACTTGAACATGTGTGTACTATCATTCGTTCGTGCTTTGATACATTTATATTACTTAAAAGTTACGGAGCCCTTCGCCGAATTATTCAGAAACCAAATAATGAGCAGGTGCACCACCGTGGTGCATCTATCCGGTATGACGGCCCTCTCGATGGCGATGAGCGTGGCCCGGTTGATCTGTCCAGTTTGGATGACGTGACGGACGGAACGGGAGCTGGGCGGCAGCTCTAATCCTGCCCCTCAAGGCCAAGGTCAAGGTCACC